AACAGTCCAAGGATCAAAACATGAAGGCAAGGAAACATGGAAACTAGAAAACATGAAAACTAGGAAACATTCAATCACCAACGAAGATAGAGAGTGTGTGTGCTACTTTTAAAGTCCTACTAATGTGAGCTAGCTGTGAACTGATGATGAGATCTGATGAAAGACAGGTGATGCAATTGATGAGTCCGTGCAAAGGATTATGGGAAATGGAGTCCTGGGTAAAGTGGCAAAAGTCTGGAGTGGAGTGCCCTCTAGTGAAGCTCACAGGCACTCCAGCTAGATATCCTTACAGTTTCACAGAAGCATTCCAGATCTTCTAGTGCAGGGGTGTCAAACTCAATTCCTGGAGGGCCGGAAGCCTGCAGAGTTTTGTTCCAACCCTGCTCCAGCACACATACCATGTAGTTTTCAAATAGGCCTGAAGGACTTGATTAGTTAGATCAGGTGTGTTTAATTAGGGTTGAATCTAAACTCTGCAGGGCTCCGGCCCTCCAGGAATTGAGTTTGACACCCCTGTTCTAGTGGAAAGACGCCTCTTAATGAATCCGCTTTGCATTTTAATGAAAATTGTAATGTGTATTGTTTTTAAAGTTACTGTTTTACTCAATGCTGTACTGTTGTGTTAATATTGTCATATATTTATGTGTGCTGGTTATGTACAGCGAAAGCTTCTGTAATGTTCTGGTTACACCCAGAGTTACTGTCCCACATTGCTCCATTATCTTCCATACTCACAAATGTCATGCTCATTTACCACACACACACACACACACACACACATAATGTATATTACTCTCACTAAAAGCCTTAATGAAGTCCACTTTACTAATTTAGCTTCAGCTGACTTTGAGTCCCCCCTGCCCTCTCTCTAATATTGGATCTTCTATTACCCAGAGTTACTGTCCCACATTGCTCCATTATCTTCCATACTCACAAATGTCATGCTCATTTACCACACACACACACACACATAATGTATATTACTCTCACTAAATGCCTTAATGAAGTCCACTTTACTAATTTAGCTTCAGCTGACTTTGAGTCCCCCCTGCCCTCTCTCTAATATTGGATCTTCTATCCATAAATATATATATATATAATAGGGCTGCATGATATATCGTTTCAGCATCAATAACGCTATGTGCGCATTCGCAATAGTCACATCACAGGATGTGCATGCTTAGTATACTGATCATTACATTTATACTGATTGTTTTCTTTGCTCACACACAGACACCGTGTCTACACTGGACACGACAAAGCGACCGTTGTCATTTGAACGTTGTGTCAGTTCGTCATAAATAGAATGAGGCATCAGTTTACTGTCGGGATTTTTCGTGTCACGCCGCATCCAGTGTAGACAGCATCACTGATTATAATGGGTTCTATAGTATTTTGTCAAGCCGTGCACCGCCGCTCGCATCCGGTGTAGACACGGTGAGAGCCACGCAGATGCATATGAACACTGAATTCCATTCACTTCTGCGTCTAATTGTGCCTGAAATTACACATAAGCGCGAAATTATGGCCATGTTCACACTGCAGCAGAATACGGTTGATGCGTTTTTGAGTCCTTAATACGGTTACGTTCACACACAGTTCGGTTATTTACGGGCATAACAACAGCATTCTGTAACAGAACTCGCACCCGTACATTTTTATTATTGATAATTTTTTTCCAAATAGAGCTATTCAAGTCATCTGGTGATTTTTTTTTTTCATATCGCAATATATATCACAGAAAATAAAATATCGTAATGTGAGTTTTTTCCAATATCGTGCAGCCCTAATATAAAATATAAATAAATATGCATATCTTTATAGGCAGAATAATGGAATACTAGTAAATTAAATAAAAATTACTCAAAAAAATGCATGAAACTCTTGCTTTATTATAAATGAAAGGACTCTGGTAAACAAGTAATAGAGCTTATGTTCCTTTATTCCATAGGCACTTATTGTACATAGTCAAATAATGCATCTGTCAAATAATGCAAATAGTGCACTGTATCATCTGAAAACAGTACTATGAAAATATGCTAACTATATCTCCTGCATAAAGCCCTGTTTGGTCTTGTACGTATAACAGATGCTTCCGGATGGGTGTGTGTTATTGAGAGGGAGATCCAGCCTACCTGAGAGTGAGTTGGACAATCCTGGATACTGATGCTAAGCTGCTACTGAAAGGATGCTGAATGTGTGTGTGTGTTCCTCTGTCTTCGTCTCTGCCTGGTAGGTGTGTGTGTGTGTGTGTGTGTACAATGACGCAAGACAGAGGGGAGGAGAGAGCACAGCCCAGCACAAATGATGACATCACTCTCTCCTCTCTCTCTCTCTTTCTGCCACAGGCCCTCTTGTCTTTCTGCTTTTTGATTTTCTCTGCCTCTTTGGCCCTTTTATTTGTCCTCTTTTCTACTTTGCTGACTAGATATAGCAGTCCTTCACTTTCAACCCTCTCTCCCTCCTCCTCCTGCTCTCCTCCTTCTGTCTTTGTTTTTGTCTCTCTCTGCTGCCACACCCTCTCCATCAATCTCTGCGGCGCAGCGTTCAGATGTTACATAGTGAAGCCACACACGCACACACAAACGTAGTTGGACTAGGTTTCTTCTTTTTTATGTTATTTTAAGACTTTGTTCATAGAAAGATTATTTGGGGAACTCAAAATGGTATTTCTCTTGCATCAGTTTGAAGCTACCCCTTTTGAAACCATAATTGGAATTTGGTCATATTCCAGTTGTAAATGTGATGTGCGGTAATGGAATTAACAATGATTGCTATAACCAGAATAGGCCAACATAATATCTACAATAACTTCACATATGAACATATAATTATATCTGCATATGTCCAAACTAAGGTAAGTCCTGGTGAATTAAATAAACACATTGTTGGATAAAAAACAACTTTAGATTTTTTTTGCTAACAATTTACAAAAATTGCTGTCAACTTGACTACATTTTGCAATACATTTTGGAGATAAAATAATGAGCTGAGATTGTGCATCTCCAGTATATCCTCAGTCAAACAATTTATTTATAATAAAAATATTTATTCAGCAGTGCAACAATTTAAATGCAGTACTGGAAAAAGACTTTGAATAAGAATAGCATAACTTTGCTTTATATGAACTACAAGAGCTCTCTCTACAGTATGCTAGAAAAATTGGTCGCATATTACATTCAATGGCTACAAACAACCTGAAGACAAATGAATCCTGAAGGTCACAAGCATTAAACCGATCCATTCATAGGTTATTACTTGCTGAAGATATAGATTACAAGCTGCAAAAAGCGTTATAAATGTCTGCAACACTTGAGCCTTATAGAAAATGACAATTGGAAAAAGTACCAAAATGTCTGGACTCTGGAGACATTTGTGTATGTAAATGTTTTGAGACCGGTGGAAGAAGTTTGGAAATTTAGCATTGAAGACATGAATATAAGAGTACTCATAAATGTTACTTTTCATTCAGTATTTAAACTAAATGTATCCATTTACTAACCAGTGATATATATACATGCAATTTCAACTTTATTAGGTCACCTTCCTAAAATGGGTTGGACCTCTGTTGACCCCAGAACAGCCTGAATTCTTTGTGACATGAATTTAACAAACATTTTTCCAAGTTTATGGTCCATGTGAACACAAAAGTATTAGGTATGTAGCTGTTGCATATTCAAGAAGATGAATGGACTGTGATCATAAGGAAGCACATGATCACGGCTGTGGCTTATAAACAATGTTTAAATAGTATTAATAGGGTGTTGCAATGTGTGCAAAGAATGTGTGTATTTTCTCTGAAGTGCAGGTCTGGCAGCTCATCCAGATGGCGGCTCAGCATCCTTTACCGTTCCCTCCCTGGGCCTGCAAAGACACATTTTTAACATAATGTAATGTAATGTAAGAGCAAGGGCATTATGCTGCGTGAAACCAACCAGTATTTATAGTATATTTTATTCATAATCGTAACCATAATCACAAATAATTTTGCCATTTACCACACTTTGTAATTTTTCTCTTTACCTATATACAGTATAGCGGCTAATGAATCGCACATTCACAGGAAATAGTTTCTATATTGAAAAATAAGGTGAATACTAAAACTATGAAGAAAACATTTCTCAAACTAAACAAGAATAATAAATGTAAAAAAAACACCTAAAATGAGACAAAAACAGTGGAAAACTACCCAAAATAAAATAACAATAATCGTTTTAGTACCATCTGTGTAAACAGATTCATTGGGTGCCAGAAAAATGGCCAGGTAATGGAAGAAATATACATATACGTATACGATCCAAAGCATGCTGTAGTGAGTTTCCCTTCATGTCACCAGTCAGTTTGACCTTGAAATTCTTCATATCCAGCATTTAATTGTTTATGCTTTACCTGCATAATACTATGCTGAGTGTTTACAGTACACACTGAGCTGTCACGTCACTGTAGTTTACTTACAGAAGGCAAGCACTGACTAGACAAATTTATTCTAACAAGTTTCCATATTTACAGACAAAACAGTTTTAAATTTCACTGCAGTTCATATGCAGAAATAGAGAGAGTGCCTTGGCTGTTCACTTTCATTTGTTAGAGTTGTTAGAACCTTACAGGAATAGTTCACCCAAATATGAAAATGAGTCAAAACTTGTATTACTTTGTTTCCTCTATGAAGCATAAAAGAAGATACTTTGGACAAATGTATTGTCCATGACAGTCAGTAGGGTCCAATGTTGTTTTCAACATCATTCATACCAGTTTGGAACGACATGAGAACAGAATTTTCTGTTTTGGGTGAACAGTGCCTTTAAACTTGCTTTGACATTTGCTATAATGCTGAAATTGTGTTCTGAATGTTTTTTTCTGGAATAGAAATGCAAGTTACATGTGCCTTACAATCCCTCATCTATGTAAACTATTGTGGTCCCTTCCTCCACCCTTCTTTCTGATCTATAAATACGGGTGTGTTCCTGCTTCAGCTGCTCTTTCAATTCACCTTTCTTTCTCACATCTTTGTTTTAGAAAATGGCAGAATCTGACTACCTCGACTACACCTGCCTCCTTTGCACAGACACCCAGCGAGACCCTGTCACCATCCCGTGTGGAGACACCTTCTGCCTGGAGTGCATTAAGATCTACTGGGACCATTCAGACAACCTCGGTGTGTACAGTTGTCCGCAGTGCCAGGCGACCTTCACTCCTCGGCCCATACTCAGACGCAACGTGCCCCACGTAGGGAACCCGGAGCCTCGGCCACCCCCTCGTGAGCTCAACCTGTTTCCATACTTCAAGCGTGATGCGCTGTGTGATTTCTGTACTGGTCGGCGGAACAGAGCGGTGAAGTCATGTCTGATGTGTCTGGCTTATTACTGTGAGACTCACATCAAGCCTCATTATGAATCGGCCACATTTAAACGACACAAACTGGTGGATGAGACGGGACACCTGGATCGGAAGATCTGCCCACAGCATGAAAAAGGCTTAGAGCTTTTCTGCCGCTCAGACCAGATGTGCATCTGTGTGCTGTGTACAGTAAGAGAACATCGCAGCCACAACATAGTCAGCGCAGATGATGAACGCACAGAGAAACAGGTGAGACATAAGATTAGAATTGTTGTGAATAGATCGGGGCAAGCTGTCACAGGGGTCATATCTGAGAAACTGTAAGTCCAAGTACTGAAATGTGTTTTTTCTAACAGTGGTTTTGTATTGTGGTTTCAAACATCTACTTCAGAAACTACAATAATAAAAATTTGAATAATGTTTGTGATTTCAAAGTCATAATGTTGTGGTCACCTAAGGAAGATTGAAGGTTGAACTGTGTTCTCAAAATAATGATATTTTTTATAAACTTCAAGTCAGAGAAAGTTGTCACAACTTTAAATGTTATGAAGTTTAAATATAAAAAACTTTATAAAAATAATAAATTCATATTTAAATGGAAGTTTTCACTGGCTAAAACAGTGGTTTAGTATTGTAGTTACCACTTTTTACAGATAAATCTTCAGTGCTTTGACTATTCCAGAGTAAAGAGTCAGCTGATAACTAGCCCTATGCATTGTGCCTTATACTCTGTGGACAGAGGTTTGAACACTTTAACAAAAGATTATATTGTAAGAATAATCTGCACCAAATCTGCATTTTTTGATCACAAATACAGTAAAAACAGTAATATTGTGAAATAATACATTTTTAAATAATGGCTTTCTATTTGCATATATTTTAAATGTAATTAATAAGAGCATTATTTTCTTTTTTTAAAAGTCATCCGAAATCTGAATGGTGGTGTGCATATGGGTACATGAATATCACACATTGCCAAAAGAAAACAATGATACATACGGTACATAACATACCTAACTGACTGATAGCTTTTTTCTTTTCTTTTCTTTTCTTTTTTTGCATGTACTGTATGTATGTGATTATAGAAAGTCTTGGTGGTGACTCAGACAGAGGTTCAGCACATTATCCAGGATCGGATGAAAGAACTTCAAGAACTCAGACACAATGTGGATGTTCTCAAGGTTGGTCCAATCAGGAGAGTCCTAAAAAAGCTTTGGGACAAAACATTTCTCACTTTTATGTAATTTAAGTGTCATTATAACTCTATACATTTTCATTTTCAGACAAAATCAGAACATAAACCCTAACAGTTCAAAGAGATACTTTGAGATATTAGATATGTTATTATTGGTCATTTATTGCCCATGAAATGAAATGGGGAAAGACAGAGAGAAAGCAGTAGGATTGCTGTCATACAAATTCAAGTAATCAAACATCTAAGATACTATTTGTCAAAGTCAGAAACAGTATAGAGTTATATAATATGTTGTTTACTAACATGTACTTAGTACAACTTAAAAATGTCCCAGTTATCCCATTCTCTCAAAGGCATCTGACTTTGATGCAGTGCTCTGTGCTGCCCCCTGGCAGTGTGGATGTATGCTGTTGCTGACTGTTGCACCTTCTCTGTAGGGAAATGCACAGCGGGCTCAGACTGACAGTGATAAAATCTTCAGCGAGATGTTACAGGCGGTAGAGCGCTGGCATGCTGAGATAAGCCAGCTCATACAGGCCAACCTACAGGCCTCCATGGCTCAGGTACATGCACATTAGATTCGGAGGGGTTAGATTGCTTCCTGTAGCTTCAATTGTAGAGCATGGCACTAGTGACACCAACATCATGGGTTAGATTCCCAAGGAGAGGAAGTGCTGATTAAAATCCCCTGCCCCTTACTGGGGAACTGTGGTGAGAAAACTTTTTGCTAATGTTTAACTTAATGTTTCTTAGTCTATATGAAACTGTATAATTCTACAGCTCGTATACTGTAAAAAACCGAGCCATGCTTTGATGAAGCTTTATGCAAGTGTTGAGATGAAGAAAAGTCCTGACTACAGTTGCTGGTCCCTGCCCTCTGACTGGGATAGCTTTGATGTACTGACAGGCACAGGGTTACATAGAGAGACTTGAACAAGAGATCATGGAGCTTCAGAAGAGAGATGCTGAACTACGTCAAATACTTGATACAGAGGACAACATTCACTTCCTACAGGTAAATAAAATCAAACAACCACTCACATTTAACTGGATTTCGCTCATTCAGAAAGTGCACTTGCCTGACTGGATATTTCAGGAATATTCAGGCAAGCCACTTGTCAGAACCGATTTTGTTAAGTGCTTTCATTACTTGTGCAGAATTTTCCCACTCTATCTGTTGCACCAGAGCCCATGGTGCCCAAAGTGCTGATAAACCCAGAGTTTTCCTTTAGTGAAATCACCAAGACCGTCTCTGACATGAAAGAACACCTGAACGACATCTGCAAAAAAGAGCTGGGAAACATCTCCAAACGAGGTAATCACGAAGACTATAACCACTGTGAGACTGTGAAACAGACATTTACCTCTGTTTTGCCTTTATTATATCTATGTCTAAAATGGTCAAAATAATGTAGATGTTAAGCAGAGATGGAAGGCATTGCTCTGCATCAGACACACAGACATAAAATATATATATATATAATCAGCTCTGCACCCCTAAATTATGGATGTAAATGCAGATGCAGAGAGTCATATACACTACTGTTCAGAAGTTTGGGTCGGTAAGATTTTTCAAATGTTTTTGAAAGACATATCTTTTGCTTACTAGAGCTGTGTTAACTTGATCGCAAAAACAATAAAAACGGTAATATTGTGAAAATTCATTACAATTTTTATAAGCTTGTTTTCGATTTGAATATATTTTAAAATGTCATTTATTCCTGTAATGACAGCTGAATTTTCAGCTGCCATTACTCCAGTCTTAAATATCACACGATCCTTCAGAAAACATTTTAATATACTAGCTCACGAAACATTTCTTAGTTTCTTAGTCAATGTCGAAAATAGTTGCTTAATATTTTTGTGGAAACTGATACCTTTTTTCTTTTTCAGTTTTTACAATGACATGCACTGTATAAAGGTCCTAGATCATGTTATTTTCACAACTTTCACAACTGTTTTATGGAGTTTTTGTCTATTTGAATTTTTCTTTTTAAAAAGACGTTTCGACAGTTGAATAATTGGTATGTTGTTAAACAATTTAATGCATCCATTCTGAATAAAACTAAATGTATTATTTAAAACAAATCCTACTGACCCCAATCTTTTGATCAGTAGAGCATATAAAGCTATATTTTATCTACTATTCATTTATGCATTTGCATGATATTCATAACTGTTTCATCTTAGTGAGTAAAATATATATATAATCAGCTCTGCACCCCTAAATTATGGATGTAAATGCAGATGCAGAGAGTCATATACACTACTGTTCAGAAGTTTGGGTCGGTAAGATTTTTCTAATGTTTTTGAAAGACATATCTTTTGCTTACTAGAGCTGTGTTAACTTGATCGCAAAAACAATAAAAACGGTAATATTGTGAAAATTCATTACAATTTTTATAAGCTTGTTTTCGATTTGAATATATTTTAAAATGTCATTTATTCCTGTAATGACAGCTGAATTTTCAGCTGCCATTACTCCAGTCTTAAATATCACACGATCCTTCAGAAAACATTTTAATATACTAGCTCACGAAACATTTCTTAGTTTCTTAGTCAATGTCGAAAATAGTTGCTTAATATTTTTGTGGAAACTGATACCTTTTTTCTTTTTCAGTTTTTACAATGACATGCACTGTATAAAGGTCCTAGATCATGTTATTTTCACAACTTTCACAACTGTTTTATGGAGTTTTTGTCTATTTGAATTTTTCTTTTTAAAAAGACGTTTCGACAGTTGAATAATTGGTATGTTGTTAAACAATTTAATGCATCCATTCTGAATAAAACTAAATGTATTATTTAAAACAAATCCTACTGACCCCAATCTTTTGATCAGTAGAGCATATAAAGCTATATTTTATCTACTATTCATTTATGCATTTGCATGATATTCATAACTGTTTCATCTTAGTGAGTGACATCTCAATCTATATCCTGATTCCGAGATCTGGAGGACATTTGAATGGTGAGAGGACTTCCTGAGGTTTAATCTACACTTTATTTAACTTTATGTAGAATAATATGTATGTTACAGAACAACTCTGTATACCATATTTTCAGCTCTGATAAGAACTGATTTGCCAGAGCCTAAAACAAGACTGGATTTCCTCAAATGTGAGTGTATAGACAATTCCACATCATTAATTAATCTAATTCACTTTACAGATGATAACATATCCCCTTTTTGTTTCTTCTAAATGCTGAATGAACCTCTTTTCTCAACAATTTCATTTAACAGATTCTTCTAAACTTACTTTTGATCTCAACACTGCCTATAAAGAGCTGGTCCTTTCAGACGGGAATCGCCGGGTGATCCGGAAGAGAACAACCCAGTTCTACCCAGATCACCCGGAGCGGTTTGATGGGTTTTGCCAGATCCTGTGCAAGGAGCCACTCAGCGGAATGCGGCATTACTGGGAGGTGGAGTGGAATGGTGAATTTTCCATTGGAGTTGCATACAAGAGCATTAGCCGCAAAGGTAAGAACTCAAACAGCCTTCTGGGATACAATGATAAATCTTGGAGCCTCCTATGCTCAGAATCAGGATACTCTGCCTGGCACAATAAGATGGATAAAGATCTGCTGGGTGCAGCTCGTGCCTCACGGATCGGTGTGTACCTAGATTATGCCGGAGGATCTGCGTCCTTTTACTCCATTTCTGAGACAATGGAGCTCATCCACAGATTTAAAGCCAAGTTCTCAGAAGCACTGTATGCTGGGTTTGGCGTTGGATCGTCTGTAACTCTGTGCATGCTGGAGAAGAACCACCAAACATACCACTAATAGGTTCTGAGCTGAGCTTTGACCCTTAGCTCTTTCAGACAGAGTCTGGGAAGGGTGAACAGTCAAACAGGCAAAATTTAAAGAATCATATTGAATTGAAGACACAAAGACATTTCAAGGTCACATTTTGCCATGTAAGAAAGAAAAAAATAGATATTATTTTACATAAAGAAAAAGTCCACTATTAGGATTCTTTGCATTGTGACTAATAGTATTTTCAGCAGAATTAGGCTCATTTTACCCCCCAAATCTTATTAATGTAATTCAAAATACATCCTCTCATTCTCACATGACAAATACTGATACTGCCTTTTAAAATCAATTAGTAATTAAAATAATGAAGACACTGTGCTTACCTCACAGCCTTGATTTAATTTCATATCAACCATTAAATATAGTGCTAGAAATGAGAATCATCATTTAAATAGAATGGAAATGGGTGTTAAAATGGGACATTTTTGTAACCATTTTTGTGAGATTCCTAAAAAAAAAAGTGGCAGTAAATATGTTTAAAAATAACAAAGCAAGCTAATCCAGTCAAGACAATCTCTTTAAATAATCTTTTTTTTTAAGATGTATCATGTCAAAACCTGCAGCCAGTCAAACCTAATACACATTCTGCAATCTTTGGGTTTAGATAAGTCAGAAGATACAGCAACATCATGAGAAAAGTGTGTATTTGTGTGATTATGAGCATGTAAATAAAATAAGCCGTCTTGTCATTATTGTTTATTTGTTTATTGTTCATTTGAATGGTTTCTAAGAGCTTTTCAGTCATTTCACCCATCACCAAGTAAACAGAAATATGTACAGATAAGAGGAACGATCTGTCACTCTGTTTCTTTTTACATTGATTAGAAACATTCAAATGCAAATCCAGCTTCCCCTTCAAATAACTGTACCTCTTAACTTTTAAGACATGGCTACACTTGTTTTATTAATCCCTAAATGATGCTCCTTCCTCTCTCTTTCTTGTCTTACATCTACCCCAAGCTGTTACTGTGGCTTCATTTCCTTAAGCATAAGGTCAAACCAAAGATAAATTCTCAACGGATGAATAATCATGAACCTTGTCATTTAAAACAGGACAATCTTACTCTGCTCAACAGTAGTCAACTCACAGTGGACAAGTACATGTAGATCAAGAGCCCTGACTTCCAAAGGAGTCTCAATATTACAACAGAGGGAACCAATCATCATCACCGAAAAATATTCTTGTTCACCCCAACAAACTGAAAAATTGAAATGGGCCAATAAATAAGTGATTTTAAATGTCCACGACCATAATGCCCCCACATGAGTGAATAGAGATCAATCTCCACTTTCATAACAATTCATAACATAAATGTCAGACAGAACCAGTTAAATCAGATCTGTTTTCTATTATAATTGACATATCATTTTATACTTAAAATATATATTTTTTTATGTTTTAAGATTTAAAAAAAGGTGTGTTGTCCTGTTTAGTATAATTTGGAATGTTTGTTAGATGCTTCACAGTTAAGCTACTATGCTGGTGTGACCGCAAGCGGTTTGTTGAGTCTGAAGTATGAGTGTCCCTAAATCAAAAATTTACCTCGAATTCTATTTCTTTGCATCCAATTCAAAGTTTGAGTTGCTATTTGTATTGTAGTATTCTGTGCCGTCTGTAATTTCATCAATTTTTTGAGTCCGTGCTCTAAACACTTATCTCTGTCTGACCGACTGTATATCCACCTGTCTATCATATTCACCCCAGGACCCATTATAGGAAAAGAAAAACATCTACTGTAAAAGCACAAAAAAAAAACATTGAGAGGTCACCATGAAACCGGTGACACACCACTCAATTAACAGCCAATAGTTGGTGTGTAGCAGTAATAGTCAACAAGTTTATTAAAAACCATTCAACTTTTCAAGATTTCTTCAGTTAAATCTGGCTAATAATTTAATTTTAAAAATAGAAAGAAAGCCACTATTGTGGAAATAATGAATCTATTCACTAGTGAAAATCACAATGTACATTGTTTGGTATCTTCTAGGGAATTTGGTTCTTAAAGAGATAATTCACCCAAAATTAAGATCATTTACTCACCCTTATGTCATTCCAAAACTAAATGACTTTGTTTCTTCTGTGGAAGACATTTTACCTAAAGGCATGATATACTGCCTAAACAACATTGGACTCCACTAATTTTAATGTGTGCACATAAAACACTTTTTTTTCACAATTTTTAAGACATTTTCTTTTTATTCCTCAGAAGAAAAAGTCATACAGCCTTGAACCACCATTAGGGTAAGATAGCATATTCATCTTTAGGTGAACTATCCCTATATTATAACATAAATGAGATGAGCCAATGAGAGGTTTTACTAAATGAAAAGCTGCCTCCATTGTTATAGCTTTAAAAGGCTTTGCGTGATGTCAGGCTTAAATAACTTAGATCCTCCACGAGTAACAGAATCTAGCTACACACTCCCACCAGCCTGAACCAAAACCAGCATACTGACATCATATTGTACCTTAAAACAAAATACACACACACACAGACACACACAATAGCCTCCACCAAATACAATCAGACACCACAGTCGTTCAGCTTGAGTTCAAAGGGTCTAATGGCAGAGTAGTGTCCATGTTTTGCAGCTACAGCACTCGCTGTCCATTTATGAGGACATCATCAAACTCCTCCTGTGACAGAGAAATGATAAGTACAGAAGCAGGCCATTAAGCATTCTTTTAGTCAATGTGTGTGTGGATTTGGCTCTAACCTCCTCACTCTCTCGGTACTCCTCCTCTTCTTCATTGTCCTGTGTGTATGTGGCCCCATGGGCACTAAGTAGGGCCTGCACCTCTTTGTTGGGTCGGTAAAGGGCACAGTAGAATGGGGTGTGGCCTGCATATGAGCGCTGATTCACCAATGCTCCAGTGCTCAATAATAACTCCACTACCTCTGACCTCTGACTTTCCACTGCCCAGTGCAATGGAGACCGACCTGACCCCAAGTCCTACAAAAGAGTTAGTGATTTTAAAAAAATCTGTAAGAAATTTTGAACACTCAAATTAATTATAATATGGTTGTATATTTAAATTGGAGTTGTTTTTTTAGTGTCATTGAGGTATTATTATAGTTTTTTTATTAACATTTTGAATCAGTTTTTATTCTTAGATTTTGTTTTTAATTGTAGTTAATTTTAGTAATTTATTCTTTTGTCGTTATTAATGTGTATCTTTTTTTTTACTTTAAGTTATTTGAGTCCATCAATTTAAGCTAAATTAAAATGAGAAATGTTGCCTTGGCAATTAGATTAAATAAAGTATGTTTTTAATACTTTAATTTAATTAATGTTTTTTTCCAAGTAACAAAAAGTTTTTACTGGTTTTCATTTTAGTTTCAGTTAGCTGCTATAACCCTTATTTAAATCAAAAGCTAACTTCTCACCCGTTGATTTACATCTGCTCCTGCCTCCAACAGCATTTTGATGATCTCACAATTGCCCCTATGTACAGCCAGGTGCAGTGCACTCACACCTTAAAGAGACAGACGGACAGAGAACGGGACAGGATGCAAAACATAGATATATAAAAAATAATGGCATTATTTATAGTGAAATACATTTGCTTGAGTTTGTACCTGCATAATTGGTGGTGTTCAGGTGCACCGGTGGGGTCCGTGAGCAGCTGGTCAGCTCTCTCACACACTCTGTGCGAAGCTCTCTGACAGCCAGGTGTAAAGGTGTGTTTCCACCCCTCTCTTGGATCTCCGCACTGGCTCCACTCCACAACAGTGCCCGAACACACTCACTCTGGTCTACGATGACTGCTAAATATGGTTGTATATTTAAATTGGAGTTGTTTTTTTAGTGTCATTGAGGTATTATTATAGTTTTTTTATTAACATTTTGAATCAGTTTTTATTCTTAGATTTTGTTTTTAATTGTAGTTAATTTTAGTAATTTATTCTTTTGTCGTTATTAATGTGTATCTTTTTTTTTTACTTTAAGTTATTTGAGTCCATCAATTTAAGCTAAATTAAAATGAGAAATGTTGCCTTGGCAATTAGATTAAATAAAGTATGTTTTTAATACTTTAATTCAATTAATGTTTTTTTCCAAGTAACAAAAAGTTTTTACTGGTTTTCATTTTAGTTTCAGTTAGCTGCTATAACCCTTATTTAAATCAAAAGCTAACTTCTCACCCGTTGATTTACATCTGCTCCTGCCTCCAACAGCATTTTGATGATCTCACAATTGCCCCTATGTACAGCCAGGTGCAGTGCACTCACACCTTAAAGAGACAGACGGACAGAGAACGGGACAGGATGCAAAACATAGATATATAAAAAATAATGGCATTATTTATAGTGAAATACATTTGCTTGAGTTTGTACCTGCATAATTGGTGGTGTTCAGGTGCACCGGTGGGGTCCGTGAGCAGCTGGTCAGCTCTCTCACACACTCTGTGCGAAGCTCTCTGACAGCCAGGTGTAAAGGTGTGTTTCCACCCCTCTCTTGGATCTCCGCACTGGCTCCACTCCACAACAGTGCCCGAACACACTCACTCTGGTCTACGATGACTGCTAAATGTAAAGCGGTCTGAGCAAAGAGGGAGGGAGGGTGGAAAAAGTTAGAGATAGGTTGCCACTAGTGTTACCACTCAGGCCTTGTTTGTTTAGTCAGTTACAGCTTGCATTATTTCCAAAGTATAACTGTGTATTAGGGCTTGCTAGGTCTTGGTTTCTGTTTCCCTATAGGTGTATAGGCATGAGAAAATTTGAGTTGTACATGAAAATTTTAATTATTAAAAACAATATTATTAAAAAAACAATTACAGGAATGCATAAATCCTTTATGATAAACACTGCAATATTCCATAAAAATAAGTATTGTAAAGTTTGCTTTTATGGTGACTTCAACAGCACGATGAAATGTATTGGTTCGTTTAATATGTAATGTTTTATGCAAAAAATAAATCACTGGAAGTAAAGCAATTCTTCTTGATCCACAGGTGCTGGCTTGTTAGAGCAGGTTGTTTGTTTTTCTAGAGGGATCTGGCAACACTGTTGTACATTTACCTGACCCAGGTCATTTTGGATGTCCAGGTAAGGAATCCAGGTGTTGTCCACCACAATTTCTTCAAGCAGGCACTGAACAACACCCCACTG